ACATGGGGCAACACGTGCGAGGATACGATATAGTTACAGTACCAAATGTGCAGCGACGCCATCAACAAGACATGGGGCAACACGTGCGGGGATACAGTACCAAATCTGCAGCAACGCCATTAACAAGACATGGGGCAACACGTGCGAGGATACGATACAGTTACAGTACCAAATGTGCAGCGGCGCCATCAACAAGACATGGGGCAACACGTGCGGGGATACGATACAGTACCAAATGTGCAGCGACGCCATCAACAAGACATGGGGCAACACCTGCGGGGAGACAGTACCAAAGCAGCGACGCCATCAACAAGACATGGGGCAACAACGTGGGGGATACAGTACCAAATCTGCAGCGACGCCATCAACAAGACATGGGGCAACACGTGCGGGGACACAGTACCAAATCTGCAGCGACGCCATCAACAAGACATGGGGCAACACGTGCGAGGATACGATACAGTACCAAATGTGCAGACACGCCATCAACAAGACATGGGGCAACACGTGCGAGGATACGATACAGTACCAAATGTGCAGCGACGCCATCAACAAGACATGGGGCAACAGGTGTGGGGATACAGTACCAAATCTGCAGCGACGCCATCAACAAGACATGGGGCAACACGTGCGAGGGTACGATACAGTACCAAATGTGCAGCGACGCCATCAACAAGACATGGGGCAACAACGTGCGGGGATACAGTACCAAATCTGCAGCGACGCCATCAACAAGACATGGGGCAACACGTGTGGGGATACAGTACCAAATCTGCAGCGACGCCATCAACAAGATATGGGGCAACACGTGCGAGGATACGATACAGTACCAAATGTGCAGCGACGCCATCAACAAGACATGGGGCAACACGTGCGGGGAGACAGTACCAAATGCGCAGCGACGCCATCAACAAGACATGGGGCAACAACGTGCGGGGATACAGTACCAAATCTGCAGCGACGCCATCAACAAGACATGGGGCAACACGTGCGAGGATACGTACCAAATGTGCAGCGACGCCATCAACAAGACATGGGGCAACACGTGCGGGGATACGATACAGTACCAAATGTGCAGCGACGCCATCAACAAGACATGGGGCAACACGTGCGAGGATACGATACAGTTACAGTACCAAATGTGCAGCGACGCCATCAACAAGACATGGGGCAACACGTGCGGGGATACAGTACCAAATCTGCAGCGACGCCATCACAACAAGACATGGGGCAACACGTGCGAGGATACGATACAGTACCAAATGTGCAGCGACGCCATCAACAAGATATGGGGCAACACGTGCGAGGATACGATACAGTACCAAATGTGCAGCGACGGCATCAGCAAGACATGGGGCAACACGTGCGGGGATACAGTACCAAATCTGCAGCGACGCCATCAACAAGACATGGGGCAACACGCGCGAGGATACGATACAGTACCAAATGTGCAGCGACGCCATCAACAAGACATGGGGCAACACGTGCGGGGATATACAGTACCAAATGTGCAGCGACGCCATCAACAAGACATGGGGCAACACGTGCGAGGATACGATACAGCTACAGTACCAAATGTTTAGCGACGCCATCAACAAGACATGGGGCAACACGTGCGGGGATACAGTACCAAATCTGCAGCGACGCCATCAACAAGACATGGGGCAACACGTGCGAGGATACAGTTACAGTACCAAATGTGCAGCGACGCCATCAACAAGATATGGGGCAACACGTGCGGGGATTCAGTACCAAATCTGCAGCGACGCCATCAACAAGACATGGGTGTGGGTCAATATTCTGGTGTGGAACGTTCCGCGGTGACGCGGACGTCTGGAACGAGTCAGTTACGTAAGGCTGGTTGTTCCGGACCTCTGGGATGTGTGGAGTCCTCAAGCACACGTTCATTTAGTGTAAGATGGGTAGATGGATGGATGAATGAATGAATGGGTAGATGGATGGATGAAGCGATCAGGGGCGCGCGGCCGTGCGATACGGCACCTCCTTGAAGGCTTCTTCGGCGGCATGGCGGGCCGCGTAAGAAGCGTAGCTACTGTGCATGTGGACTTGGTGGCAAATTGCTCCGCTGCGTCTGGAACACGTCTGGAACGGGTCTGGAACGGGGTCTGGAACGGTTACGCGAGTGGCTTGCGCTTGGTAGCAAGCTGCGTGTAAACATGGTCGTTTCAACAATGTGACGACCGAGAGCGGTATCGAACCGTTACCGTATCGTATCGAACAGATTGCGGCGGGGTTGACCCTTAACATTCACAGGCCGTTCCAAAAACACATCTGTCAACAGGACCGCTGCTTAATTCCATCCAAGCCCCAATGATTACAAGCCACGCAGCCCCAACCACCAAAGCTCGACAAGCAAAACCCATCGTTAGCACCTCAGGCTTCTCTCGAACACCAGCCTTAACGCGTAGCATTTGGCAAAACAAAGGGGGGAGTCAATAACCTACCAAATCACCTTACCGTAAATACTCTAAACTAGACATAAATATATAAACAAGGTCTGGAACGGAAGGTCTGGGTCATGTTTCTACTCAAGGTCTGGAACCGAGGTCTGGAACGGAGGTCTGGATCGCATGTGGGTTCCGGACCCTGTTCCGGACCTTATAAATTGACTCGCAGCCACATGGGGCAACACGTGCGAGGATACGCTACAGTTACAGTACCAAATGTGCAGCGACGCCATCAACAGGGTATGGCGCAACACGTGCGGGGATACAGTGCCAAATCTGCAGCGACGCCATCAACAAGACATGGGGCAACACGTGCGAGGATACGATACAGTTACAGTACCAAATGTGCAGCGACGCCATCAACAAGATATGGGGCAACACGTGCGGGGATACAGTACCAAATCTGCAGCGACGCCATCAACAAGACATGGGGCAACACGTGCGAGGATACGATACAGTTTCAGTACCAAATGTGCAGCGACGCCATCAACAACATATGGGGCAACACGTGCGGGCATACAGTACCAAATCTGCAGCGACGCCATCAACAAGACATGGGGCAACACGTGCGAGGATACGATACAGTTACAGTACCAAATGTGCAGCGACGCCATCAACAAGATATGGGGCAACACGTGCGGGGATACAGTACCAAATCTGCAGCGACGCCATCAACAAGACATGGGGCAACACGTGCGAGGATACGATACAGTTACAGTACCAAATGTGCAGCGACGCCACGTGCGGGGATACGATACAATACATTACAATACCACCTGACCTGGAAGCTGGAGGTCTCAAAAGCTGGGGGGCGGGGAGCTAGATCAAGCCTGAATCTACCGAAAGAACCAGCTTGATCAATAAGAACATGCCTGCCGAATGAAGTGTCCCACGCTAACCGAACAATGGAGACGCAAACAGAGATCCGCCACATCGAGTCACAGAACGCACGATTCTACTCATGAAAGCCGGGTCATGGAAGCGCTCGCCTTGAAGATGCTGCAGTATGAGGCCTTCCTTGCTGGCACCGCCTGAAAACTCAGCGAGCAAACCCGCCCTGCAATCCCTCGCCGTGCCTTGCGAGGAGCTGAGCTGCTGGAAGAGTCGCAAAAAAGTGGCGCGCCTCAGCCGGGCGAGGCACCGCGCGCCTCAGCCTGGGGGACGTCAAGGTTGGCGTTGCTTTTGGCTTTGGCTTGTTTGATTTAGATCGGGGGCTGTGGCGATTGTACGAATTGGGGATCAGATTCCTGTTCGCGACTTCAACCCAAGCAACCCGCTGCAAAAGCCCAAAGATCCGAGCAATCGGGGAGCTTTGCCTGCCTCGCGGCCTCAATGCGCTGCCTTGCTACGCAACCCACAGCTTCCCTCATTTCAGCCGGCATTGCCACGCGAGGTTCGAATCGGTTCGAATGCTTGAGCCTTTGGCCGACTCTCGAGGCGTCAAGTCACCCCAGTCGACCCGCCACGCGCAAATTTGCGCGCTGCGTTGGACGAGCGTCTTGCAGCTCGTATTTAGGCACTGCCATCGCAGCACCATGACGCCGTGAATTTGTTTGGCCGCAATCGGAGGATATCAGAAGGTGCGTCCCATCAGGCTCGAGCGGCTGAGAAAACACAAAGTTCAGCGAACACAAAAAGGTCGCTGCCTCTTCCATGGCTATAAACACTTGCCATGAAAGTTGCAAGCCATGCGATCGCACTGCCTGGGCTTCGTTTCCGCGAGCAACGCCAATCAAAACTTCCAACGCCGCGCAAGCTCTGACTGGTGCCCTTTGCCTGTCACGACCAAGTTCTCTTTGAAGAGGCGGCTTACGGAAAGGATGTGAATTCCAAAAGTCGTCCCTCCAGTCGAGTTTCAAGTCTCAGCTCCCTGCCCATCGGACCTTGTCAGCACCCGCACAAGGCTGAAGCTGATCCAACAAGGCACGCGCTCGTCGCCCAGCTCTGAGCGCACCTGACAGCTCAGCTCACAAGTCTCACAAGCGCACCCTCGCCCATTTGGGAAAGCCCCAAATGGGGCAGCCAGGAAAGCCCCGGGAAAGCCCCCGGCACCCTTTGCTGTCGGGGCACAAGCGCCCAAACCAATTGGCGCATGGACATCTTTCATCGTCAAGGGAGATGGTGAGGCGAGAAGGCGTGCCATATGGGTCTACGCTTATAGAAAATAGGGGGGAATAAAAGTAGTGGGGGGGATGTCTGGCTGTGATCCAGATTGGCATTTTTGGAGACATTTGCCCAATCTTGAGCCAGACAGTGAGCTTTGAATCCAAGTCTGGCAAGAGCACAAGCTCTGACTTGCGCAGTTGCGAAGCGCGAAATATTGAACTCGGCTGGCTAATGGTGGGCAGCCGTGAGACTGTGAAACAGATGCGGATTTCACTCAAAGGCCAAACTCTGCAACAGCCTGGGACAGGCCGATACGCGATAATGTCTTGACGGCACTGACACATCCTAAAAGAGCAAAAGCAGGCGATGCTTTCACACTTGGAGGGCTTGAGGCCCGTTCTGACAGCCTTACGCAACTCCGTTGCGATTAAGTTCAGCCTTTCAGCCTTTGGTGACCTGCCAGCATCACCGTTGGGAATACGTTCCTCACCATGCGTGTTCCGCCTGGCCAATCGGCAAGTTTCATTGTCCATGGGTGAACGGGTTTGGCCCGAGTCCAAAGTTTCCGATGGAATTCTTTGGTCAAGACTGGAGAAAAGAAGTTCCGAATACAGAGACACGCCAAGGCTCGGATGCTTCACCACGGCGGTCCTCCTCATCAAAGACGTGAACGCAGGGGATCTGAGACAAATCGCCATCTCCTGGCGAATAAAAAAAATCATCAAACTAGACGATTGGCCCGACCGATTTGTGGCCATGCTTAACCCATGCGAGCTGCTCGCAACATGCTCCTTGCAAGCTGCTCACGCACTCACGCAAGTGCCCTGTGCAAGCTAGTCTCTGCCAGTTGACAGTTGCTCAGCGCGTTGCTGTGTGCTAGTTGCTCTGCACAAGTGGCTTTGTGCACGTCGCTCCATGCAAGTTTCTTCGTGCTCAAGTTGCGATTTCAGCGCTAATGTGCTTTGCATACTACTTTTGTGCGCGTACTACTCTTGTGCTTAAAGGTCACCAATTTCTGGCCAGCTTTGCGATTCTGCCGTGGCTCTGCCGTTCTCTCTTTCTTTCTCTCTCTTCCTCTCTCAGACTTCTTTTCCTGCTGTTTCCGAATTTCCCGCCCATGACAAGCCAAAGAAACACGAGCTTTTGGAGGTCACATTGAACGCTCGCACAGGGTTCACTTGCGTGCGGCTGTGCCAGTGGTGCCCGCCTCCGTCAAACGTTGCGACCGAGCAGGCACCGCCGTTTCATTCTAAACTTCCCCTGAAGTACATATGCAATGGAAATGCGACACACATATGCCACGACAGGCGCAAGCTCGATTCCGAACTCCTTCCGGCTTCGCGTCCGAACTGGCCGGGTCATCCTCAATCGAGAACTCGAAAGGAAAGAAAATCGTCCAGTGGCCCACGCCTCTGGGGGCGCCGTGAAGTACGGTATCCTCCCACGCTGCCAGTCATAAAGCACAATACGCGCCGCAGTGTCGATATCCTCGTTCACTCAAGAGGCGCACGAGCTTCGCAGAGAACAAAATACGAAACGATACTTGTGCCCTACAGTGTCTGGCTGCACTTCTGGCTGCACATAGCTGTGTGCTCGATCTCCCTCTCAACATCTCAACAGGATACCAAAACGTCCCGTCGCGTGGCTTTGATTCCTCCTAACACACTGCGATGTCGAGTCACCTTTGCAAGGTGCGCCGATCTAAACACTGCGCATTGCGACTTTGGGCGCCAGTCATCGGCCGCACTCTCGGGGCGCGGCTGCTTCTCCACCTTTGACGAGCTTGCCCATCTTCTTCCCTAGGATAGTCAGGAACTCCTCGCTATCCTGGGGGTCTAAGAACAGTTGCGTGCGCGTGGCATGCGTGTCATGTGTCAAACCGGTCCTTCCAAGACGTCTCAGGTGAGAGACGGTATCGTTGCAGCAGATATGGCTTCTTGACTCGCGAGAGCACCTAGAGATCTACCAAACAGGTGTGTGGCAAAGTTCAACACTGCAACACACGCCTCGTGGATGTAGTCAGAGGGAGTCTTCAAGCGCTCTGCTCGTACGACTCCTTTCAGGACCTCAGCACCGAGGGTCAGAAATATCCTGACGAACAAGTGGCATCCCCGCTCTGGCAACGTGAAATCAAACACGAGCCTAAGCATCTAAGCAAGTCGCAATTTAATGTTTGCCCATGTTGGTCTCCTTGGTCTAGTTGTTCAAAAAAGCTCTGGGAAGCGGACACTCAACTGGGATGTTTCGTCAGTACAAACATGCCAGTAACAAACCGGACGGCGTGAAAATTGTTTATGCGTTCGTGCCTGCGAAATAGTTAGGGGAAATATGGCACGCTTTGAGTTCAGTCGAAGTTGACTAATAAGAACGTTGCCCCTTCCTTTGTTTGCGTAGTGCTTGACTGTGTCTCAGTATTTTAAATTTCAGTCGTGTTGCAGATGAGACACCACATCGTGTCACGATATCCAAATTAGGTTCTTGTCATGCGCAGAGAACCCTTGGAAGGAACTGTGCAAGCACACAGCATCTAAATGCACACAAGTCAAATTGAAAGCAAAAACAACCATAACACTGGCTTGGGTGACTGTAGATAAAGAGGAGGCCACGTTCTTGGTATGAACGGATGATGCACTAGTAGTGTGGACATCCTCAATCGTTTCACTTAGAAACTAAGGATTAAACCACCTTCCCCCACCCAGGCTCACTTTCTGGTGCACCAACTTAAACCCTGAGCTCTGACATGTCCCCTCATATTTGTTTAATACATAATATATATATATATATATATACATATATATATATATGTGTATATATATATATATATATTTCCGCTACCCCCCCCCCCCCTCCCCCCACGCGTCTGTTTTTGTTACACATCGACCATGGCGACTAGTGTTAGACACGCGCCATATTCAGATTGGAGGTTGGTAACACTTGAGAGCGGTTGAGCTATAAGGCGTTGCAAGCTCTTCTCGAAAGACACAACCAGATCTTCCTAAATCGACGATCTTGGTCACACGCAGCTTTTGCCCAAACCTGCTGCGCCAGTACTCATACTGGATGGAGTCTGAGAGCCATGCCTGGCTTCTTTCCGGCGCCGGTCGATGCGTTGGGTGCCAGGCTTCGCCTCCGATGGAGCCCTCCTGCCACCTTCGTTTGACACGCCTTGCTGAGTTCGCGCGCGTCGCAACCTCTGCGACGAGAGACAGAAGTCCAGCAAGTCCCAGCGCCGTGGGAACGTTTCAGAGTGAGCTTGGTCAAAAAAAGATGAAGCCTGTCAGGCTTGCCTTGTTGAAGCGCGCCAGCGCGATCTGCCACAAGTCCATTACGTGTTGTTGCTGCGCTGATTGTCCGGAACAAGCCCCATCTGCCTCAATGTCACTCCATGTCCTTGAAAACGCTGCGGGCTGACACGCTATTAACAAAAATTCCGAACGTTGTTCGCGCGCGTCGCGAGGGCCTAAGACACCTTTCTGCATTTGGAGTGCGTCTTCCCTTGGTCGTAGATCTGCGGATGTGTACTGTCATCTTCCCGAGGGCTTGGCCCACTTTTGCATGAAGAGGTCTTGGCGCCAGCTGTCTCCTTCAAAACAATTAAACTCTCCCCTTTCCACGCTTCGGCTCAGGGAAGCGATTGACTTTGCGCAGCGTTGCAGCCAGCACGGTCTAGCCACTCAATGAGCCGCAAAAGGACACTTCTTGCGCAGGCTAGGGGCGCAAGGCGCATCACTGAATGGGCCTCCAGAGGCTACATTAACTTCTTCAATCGTGGCTACAGCGCAACCCACACGCAGGTACACAGCAACATGAGCTGCACGCAGACAGAGGATGAGCTGCAAAGGCACCACATCTTCAAGTATACAAGCAACAATGGTGTACATGAAGTACAGTTGGCACAGCGGCCACACTTGGTCATACAATGCCCGCACTGACGTTTCACAACTTGCCACAGAACCCGATAAAAGTCGCAGGCACGATGAAAGTCGCAGGCATGCTACAGCGGCACAGGCTTTGAGCCTTATGGGTGTGAACAACATCAAGCACACTCCTGCAGAATATCGGATCACACTTGTGCGCCACATTTCCATGCAGGAGACAAACAGCATTGACATCAAAGGCACACTGGAGGGCGCTGCAATCCCTGGACATCCATACCACATCGAGTACATCAGGAAACAAAAGGATGTTTTCTTCCAAAATTATGTCGCGACACCAAGAACAAGTTGTACGTGGAATTCAGCACTGATTCAGCACAGCAGGCACACCGAACTCTTGGGTACATATCATCTGCACAGCGAGGAACATGGTTGCATAGATCACTGGCCTGGCACATGGCCAACCTTCTTGCTACATTCCGACAAGCGAGGATGATGTGCGCAGCATGATTATTGCCAGCAGGCGGATCAACCACGCAGTCAATTGACAGGGCAGTTGAGGTTCGACTCCCGTGGGGTGACCAATACCCTCGACAGTAAGTCGTATAGTAGTAATCGTGGTAAAAAGGGCTTGTGAAGTAAAAGATCTGCGTTGTCTCACGACTCGATGCGACCGCGGAATACGAACCCTTTTGCTTTGCTTCAAAAGGTTTAGGACCTTAAACAAGGGGAAGTAACAGGGTGACCCTCAGAACCTGCCCTTAGGATGTTTTCGCCTTGCGGCTCGGAGATTCTTAGCATCCCCCATCCCGGGCTTGGGTTCATCCCTTGGTCGGGAACCAATCACAAACGCATGCCGACACACATGGACGCACGGCTTCTCTTTTACTCAATTCAATGAAAAGTTAGCCAGGTTCTGTAAACTGAACATGAAATCCGCCGACAACAGGCGGCGTGTTGGACATAAGAAATGCTCCTTACCTCTTTGCCTGTTACCCCTCCCCTAAAGACTATTGCGGGGGGGGGGGGTCCACGTACCACGCGGTGATTCGAAGACGCTTCACTAAATCTGTTCATTGTGCGGGCTTGCGCAACTCAGTTTGTCAAAAACATTGGGGCGTTCGATTCCCCCCGGGTGCGCTTTCGCATCCTTAGCAGCTCCAGCGGCACACCGCCAGCATCACCTGCATCATCCGCATCAGCGCCTGCCAAGGATGCGGATGATGCAAGTGTTTTCCTTCTAAGGCCTTTTCCCACCCTCAGTTCTTCTCCCTTTTCCTCCCAAAGATCTTTCCCCCCATTTCCTCCCTAAGTCCTTTTCCCTGAGTTCGTCTCCCTTTGCCTCCCTAAGATCTCTTCCCCCCTTTCCCGCTTAAGATCCTTGCCCCCGTTTCCTTTCTAAGGCCTTTCCTTTCAAGATCTCCACCCTTCTCTTCCCAAAGTTTTTTCTCTCTTTCCCGATTGAGATCCTGTCCCCCGATTGCCCCTTAGGGCCTGTTCCCCCCGAGAAAGATTTCCCTTTTCCTCCCAAAGATCTTTTCCCCCCTTTCCCCCTTAAGGCATTTTTTCCCCAGGTCTTCTCCCTTTCCTCCCTGAGATCTTTCCCCCCCTTTCGCTGTTGAGACCCTTTCCCCCTTTCCCCCCTTCATTTCCAGATCTTAGGGAGGAAAGGCAGAAGATCTGGGGCAAAAAGGCCTTAGGAAGGAAAGGGGAGAAATGATCTCAACAGGGCAAGGGGTGGAAAAGATCTTCGGGAGGAAAGGGAGAAGATCTGTGGAAAAAAGGCAAACAGGGAAAGGGGGGAAAAGATCTTAGGAAGGAAAAGCGAGAAGCTCTCAAAAAAGAGAAGGCCTTGGGAGGGAAAGGGGGGAAAGGATCTCAACAGGGAAAGGGTGGGAAAGATCTTAGGGAGGAAAGGGGGGGAGATGTTAGGGAGTTCCCTCCCAAGGCCTTTCCCCCCATCAGAGCTTCTCCCTGTTCCTTCCTAAGATCTTTTCCCCCCTTTCCCTGTTGGGCTTCCCCCCCTAAGTCCTTTTCTCCCAGATCTTCTCCCTTTCCTCCCTAAGATCTTCCCCCCCCCGGTTCCTTCCTAAGATTGTTTGCCACCCTTTCCCCCTGAGGCCTTTCCCCCCCTGAGAGCTTCTCCTTCCTTAGATCTTTCCCCCCTGTCCCTGTTGGCCTTTTTTCCCCCAGATCTTCTCCCTTTCCTTCCTAAGATCTTTTCCACCCCTTTCCCTGTTGAGATCATTTCTCCCCTTTCCCCCCTAAGGCCTTTGCCCCCAGATCTTCTCCCTTTCCTCCCTAAGATCTTTCCCCCCCTTTCCCTGCTCAGATCCTTTCCCCCCTTTCCCCCCTAAGGCCTTTCCCCCCCTGAGATCTTCTCCCTTTTCCTCCCTAAGATCTTTTGCCATTTTTCCCTGTTGAGATCCATCCCCCCTTTCCCCCCTAAGGCCCTTTCTCCCTCTGAGTTTTTCCCTTTTCCTCCCCACAATGTTTTCCCCCCTCTCCCTGTTGAGATCCTTTCCCTCCTTTCCCCCCTAAGGCCTTTTTTCCCCCTGCGATCTTCCCCCTTTTCCTTCCTAAGATCTTTTCCCCCCTTTCCTTGTTGAGATCCTTTCCCGCCCTTTCCCCCCTAAGGCGTTTTCCCCCCCAAGATCTTCTCCCTTTTCCTCCCTAAGATCCTTTGCCCCCTTTCCCTGTTGAGATCCTTTCCCCCCTTTCCCCCCTAAGGCCTTCCCCCCCCTGAGATCTTCTCCCTTGTCCTCCCCAAGATCTTTTCCCCCGAGATCTTCTCCCTTTTCCTCCCTAGGATCTTCTCCCACCTTTCCCTGTTGAGCTCCTTTCCCCCTTTTCCCCCTAAGGCCTTTTCAGATCTTCTCCCTTTTCCTCCCTAAGATCCTTTGCCCCCTGTCCCTGTTGAGATCCTTTCCCCCTTTCCCCCCTAAGGCCTTTTCCCTGCCTGGGACCTTCTCCTTTTTTCACTGAGATCTTTCCCCCCCTTCCCTTTAAGGCCTTTCCAGATCTTCCCCCTTTCCTTCCTAAGATTGTTTCCCCCCTTTCCCTGTTGAGATCCTTCCCACCCTTTCCCCCCTCAGGCCTTTCCCCCCTGAGAGCTTCTCCCTTTTCCTTCCTTAGGTCTTTCCCCCCTTTCCCTCCTTTTTTTTCGCAGATCTTCTCCCTTTCCGCCCTAA